GTGTTCACACACTTGTGTCCTGACACGTAGACAGTCTTTTCTCCAGAGATCTGACAATCTTCTTTGTTAATTGTCTCTATAGTGTCTAGCACAGTGGGGCATTGATCTTTGGGGTTCCTTTCCTGGGCATTTCCATAGTATAAATAATGTGCATACAAATATGCAGATGTTGGGATATTAGAAATGTTAATTGAAATACTGCATCCCAGCTGCAATAATATATTTGTTTTACAACAGCCACTTTTACTACAATAATGTTTATTTAAGCAGACACCAGCTTTACACATACTCAAGCCTCCTTTGTTAGATAACATTTGCACAATAATGTCAGACCTGGGATTCCCGTATATATACTTTGTAGTAAAAAGGGACTATACTTTACCCATCTCCAGTAACTATAGGAGCATTTTCAAATCTTTTGCTTTCCTTCCCCTTTAATTTTAATATGAACTGTTAACTATTTAAATTAGAAAAATAGTCTGCAAATTAAAGAAAGTGGTAATATGTTACCAGGCAATTGATGAGAGACACAATATGAAATAGAGTTTCCTCTGTGAGCTGCCTTCCTTCCTTTCTTGTCTTTTGAATCCACTGGGTTCTAAGCTCTTTACTTCTAACCCATCCTGGGCCTGGGCTCACCTAAAAACACTTGTTAAGAACCGGACCTTATCAGAACATTAGCGTATGGTTGAATATGGAAACATTAGAATTTCCTGCTGGCCCATAATCAAATTGCAACTTTTTAAAAAAGAGATCATTTATGATTGGGGATCAAGTGGTTGCATTCAGGCTGATGGCAAAGCACTCATGCACCCGGGCCACAGGGCTAAATGCCTGCAAACTATACAAAGGCTTGTTCACAAAACAGGTGGTTGGTTGTTTTCAGAGATAAAGGAGAAACAAGGAGACTCCTTGTGATCTGAGACCCATCAGCCTCCAAGTTCATGTTTATACCCCCTCTATTTCCCATAAAGAATTAAGAAACAAGTACAGGCTCATCTAATATACAGACCTGTCACTCTGGTAGTTAGTTTCTTCCCTTGCCCCATCTTGCTATAGCCCCTTCCCAGCACAATGGAGCCTTGACTTGTTCCTCCTTGTAGTACTAACACATACAATCCTTTGTGACCTGTTTAATGTCTCATTCAGGGCGTGCAGAGATATGGCCTCTTTAGTCATCCTCATGGGGAACAAGAAGAGAAGAAATGCAATTTTAATAGGCTTGGATCTTCTCTCGTGGGCAGTCAGCAACAGCACGGACAGGAGATCTGACTTCTGCTAAAGGTCACTTTGCACTGAGGGCTTTTTATAGCCAGTACATCCAAATATAGTTCAGAAACACACAAACATATGTCCACAAACATGTTACTTAATGAATTATGAATTTGGTGCAGCTCCTCAAACATGAACACCCCACGTGTCTTTCTTTGTATATGAATTACTCTTATTTAAAGGTGATCTGAAAAGGGGCTTGTGCCCTGTTCAGCTTCTTCCTGATGTATTATTATTTGTATTACTGTAGCATTTATGGACGAGAACTCCATTGTGCTAGCTGGTGTACAAACAGAAAAAAAATACCTGGCTTTTATATAGAGACAAGGTGGGTGAGGTAATGTCTTTTATTGGACCAGCTTCTGTTGGCGAAGAGACAAGCTTGTCTTTTGCCAATAGAAGTTGATCCAATAAAAGATATTACCTCGCCCACCTTGTCTCTCTAATATCCTGGGACCAACATAGCTACAACAACACTGCAAATTGCTTTTATATAGTGCTTTTCCTATATAGCTCTGTAAGTGCTTTACAAAGGTAGTGTGATCAGCATCAGTTACACATGGGGGAACTGAGGCACAGAACAATGTCCCCAAGGTCACCTAGCAGGCCAGTAGCAGTGCCAGGAATAGCACTCAGGTTCCTGGGGTCACAGTCCAGTGCTGTTTCCACTAGACCCCACTGCCCCAAAGAGCTTACAAGCTATGTATCAGACAAGAGACAACAATGGATAGACAGATGGGGAAATACGAGACAGTATAGGTCAGCATAATAGGCGGAGTCTCAGCATATCAGCGGTCTAACTGCTGTCACGTTTTCTGTAGGCTCCATGACAAAAGGGAGTCTGACACAGATTTGGAGGAGGAGGACAGCTTTGTGGATGTTTACAGTGAGCTTCTCCCAAGTGTGAGGCATATCATAGGAGAAAACACAAAGGAGCTTTTTAGAAAATGAGACAGGTGGACAACAGGCTGGCATCATTGGCCAGCTGGGGGTGGGGATATAAAGAAGGCCTGAAATGTATTTACAAAACAAAGTGTGGCTTTATATCAAAAATGCACATACTATCTAGCTTGGAAAACTGATGACTGGATATCTAGTGAAATTTGACATCACAAGAATCAAAGGTTTGTTATTGCCAATCAACTTGTTAGCTAACATGTTTGTCCATGCTACTCTGGACACTACAAACATTTATGTGCTAGCAGACTAGCATCACTATATCTGAAAAAAAGAGAGAGAAATGTGATTTTTTTAAAATAATTTTTGATTAATCTCTGGCTCTCCTTTTCATCCTCAAACTGGAGGCTGGGCCCTACCATACCTGTCCCGCCAATGAACTGTGGTTGTGCAGAGAGACAGGAGGAGCCAGCATGGGGCTGGGTGAGTAAAGAGCCAGAAATGAACACAAATTGCTAGCCCTAACATTGTGCACCATTTCTTGCTCTTTTTCCTTTTCTCCTACCTGACTTTCATTGCAATGTCACTTCCTTTCAGTTTTTCTCCCTTTTATTTGGTTACCTCGTCTCTCCTCATACCACTTTCCTACTCCCCACCTTATTTCTTGTTCCCCCTATTCCCATAGCTTCCTATGTTGTCATGAGGGACTTTAACTCTATTTTTTGAAGTGGTGAGACACTTCCTAATTGTTAAAAAGTTAATTCCAGAAGTGTGTTGACTGTCTTTTTGCTCAAGATATGAGGATCACAAAGATGAGAGCAGCACAAAGATTCCCACTGCCATAGAGAAGTTACCCTTATACTTTGAAATGCACATCTGACAGTAGGCATTACTTTGTCACCATGGAAATGTTTGAGTGCTAAATATTCAAAAGCAGAGGATAAAAAAAACAAGATAAAGCATATACAATTGTAAGGAATCTTTTAATCTTTAAGTATCAGGGGGTAGCCGTGTTAGTCTGGATCTACAAAAACAACAAGGAGTCTGGTGGCACCTTAAAGACTAACAGATTTATTTGGGCATAAGCTTTCGTGAGTAAAAACCTCACTTCTTCGGATGCATAGAGTGAAAGTTCACTCTATGCATCAGAAGAAGTGAGGTTTTTACTCACGAAAGCTTATGCCCAAATAAATCTGTTAGTCTTTAAGGTGCCACCAGACTCCTTGTTGTTTTTTTAATCTTTACTGATGCATAAGTTGTTGTGATGGGTTCAGCCACAGCGACCCCCTTGAGACTGTCACCTACCTCTGAGCCTGTTTTCCCTGCCAGCTTGGGACTCCAGAACCCTGTCCTGTTGAGCCACACGCTACTCAGCTGCAACACAGACTCAGGGTCTGAACCACGCCCCCAACGCTGCAGACTTTAATCAAAACTGCTAAGCAGGTTTCCTATGTCCAGCAGCCAACGGGATCCAAACTCCCCAAATAAATCCGTTTTACTCTGTATAAAGCTTATACAGGGTAAACCCATAAATCGTCCACCCTCTATAACACTGATAGAGAAATATGCACAGCTGTTTGCTTCCCCAGGTATTAAGCACTTACTCATACACAAGTGATTTTATTAAGCATAAAACATGGGTTTTAAGTGGTTTCAAGCAATAACAGACAGAACAAAGTAAGTTACCAAGCAAAATAAAGCAAAACACGCAAGTCTAAGCCTAATACATTAAGAAACTGAATATAGGTAAATCTCACCCTCAGAGATGTTCCAATAAGCTTCTTTCACAGACTAGACTCCTTCCTAATCTGGGCCCAATCCTTTCCCTGGTACAGTTCTTGTTAGTTCCAGCTCAGGTGGTAAAAAAGGGGATTTCTCATGACTGCAGCCCTTTTATGGCTTTGGCACAAGGCGAGAATCTTTTGTCTCTCTGGCTCTCTACCCTTCCTTCTAAATGGAAAAGCACCAGGTTTAAGATGGATTCCAGTACCAGGTGACATGGTCACACGTCCTGTGATACCTCAAGCCTCCATTCTTTCCGGCCTGACTCTCATGAACACAGGAAGGCTTACAAGTAAACAGAGCCATTTACAGGTGATTGATTCTGAAGCACCTTAATGGCATCCACTTAACATGTTTACATCTTATTCTCCTAACTCGAAACAGAAATGATACATTCATACAGATAAGATGAACATACGCAGTAGATAAGCTTTGTAATGATTCCTTACAAGAGCATATTCCAGTTACATTATATTCACTTATTAGCATAATTTCATAAAGCATATGGAATGCAACATCACCAATGTACAGTGGATAGTTTTGGCAGCCAGAGGGGAATGTCTCCTAAGTATTTTAGTTATAGTTTGGCTCTTTTCTTACGATAAAAGGACAATCCATCTCTCCCATTATCTTACTGCTTGCCACCAAAAAAGCTTCTAATTGACAAACACAAATTAACTTTATTTTAGTAATGTCAGATTTAATACTTCAAAGTTCAGTGTTTTTGGCAAAGATCGCTCCTTTACATGTATAAACAATGAGAAGGAAATAATTTAATTGGTCAGATTAGTTCCCAAACTGTATAGTAGTGCACTTTTAGCACATTAGTGATACAGGACATCCTGGGAAAATAAACTTTCTGAATTATTTGCACATCCCATAAAAGCCGAGAGTTTATTAAATAACTTCAGAGGCACAGGATTCACATTTGGTCACCTCCCCCCACATTTGTAAGCTAACTCTCCACCTAGGGCAAGAGCCTGCTTTCCCTATTCATGCAAGGAGCCCTTGAAATCAATAATACTATGTGTGTAAGGAAGACAGCAGCATTTGGCCCTCTGTGTTTTTATTATTCTCTGCATTTAAGTTATAAAATCCTCAACTTCACATTTTTCACAGCATATAGGGTTACATAGGATAGTCATACAAGAGCTAGCAGGAGCACAAGTAGCACAGTGATGGAGAAAGCTTTTATTGAAACAGTTCTAAAACATTTTTTTCTTCTGACACATGAAATCAGAGGACAAGCCAAGTTAATAGCTGTTAACATTTCCCCCCATCCCCTAATGTTGTTCCAGTCTGAAAATCCCACTCAATGATGAACTTTAAATCAATTTAGCTATTTAACCCCTTCAGTAATTATTCTTAACTATATTAAATTAAAAATAGTTCAAACATGCTTGCAACCCACATTTCAGTTGTCACAGCTCAGATTTTTTTTTTAATTAATTAATGGAGATATCCCATCTCCTAGAACTGGAAGGGACCCTGAAAGGTCATCGAGTCCAGCCCCCTGCCTTCACTAGCAGGACCAAGTACTGATTTTGCCCCAGATCCCTAAGTGGCCCCTCTCAAGGACTGAACTCACAACCCTGGGTTTAGCAGGCCAATGCTCAAACCACTGAGCTATCCCTCCCCCCTAATAATCAGATAATCAGAATATATGTCTAATTCAGGCCTAAATTACCAGAAATGTTGAAATAAGGAAAGCAAAGAATTAAAAAGGGGAATTAGCAGGAAAATTAGTAGTTTTATTATTGTGCAGCGGTTTTGGAGGACTCCAGTCAATTACACCTTCAGCAAAGCTTACCACACCCATTGATTTAGTTTTTACAGAAAAGGCCACCATTTTTCTCCCAGACTGAATACCTTCTTATAATGTTTGCAGACTGAAACATAAAATGTTACAACCTGCAGCATGAGGCTGCCTCAGTGTCTGCTCATTTTTGAGCCTGCAATTCCTCTCAATCCATTTCAAACAAACTTACACCTGTATTCAAGATGCACCATCTTCCGACCCCACAAGAAAATATTTACAGTGAAGATGTGCCACGATTGAAAAAGATAAAGCATTGTTACTTATGTGCATAATGTGCCATAGCAAATTCCTGGCCACTTCTAAACATGCATGAGAGCTGGGAATTATTTAAGCTACAGGAAGTTTACTCTCTATGGTAACAAAGAGGAGAGTGCTCTGTAGGGAACCAGGTAGGCCAGCTCACAACAATCCAAAAAACTAGCTACTTGCCAAGATTTCCTTAAACAATGTGTCTAGGTTTCAATCAGAGGATATACAGATATACAGCTTCTCTGATCGGCAACTAATACCCTCCTGAAGCCTTTGACCTCTGCACATGAAATCCAGTTTACCTTCTCTCCATGTTCTATGCTTAGTTTTGGTAAAACTCTGGCATGTTCATTTGTAACCATTGCATTGGGCTCGCCATCTCTCTTGGTGGAAGCTGGTGTTCTGGCCTTCCTCCTGTGGATGGATTTCACAGGACTCTTCAGTTGCTTCCCAACTTCATTGCTGACATCCCACAGTAACACCTTCCCATCATTTCCTCCCGAAAGCAGCCAATATTCTTCTGGCAGAAAGAGGACCTGTGACACCCCCAAAGTGTGACCCTTAAACCCCAGCTCCTGTTCAAACTTGACACCTGTTACCCTGAAGATCCGGATTTTACCATCTTCACCTCCACAACCAAAGATGTTGCCACATGCTGCAACAGACAGAGAATGAGCTAGGGGAGGGTTAAAGAACTGGCCAGCTGATTGCTGTTCCGCTCCTTCTGCTTCGTTCTCCTGCAGGGTCATGGTCCACAGTGGGCGAGCTTTCTGCAGGTTCCACAGCATAACCTTCAAATCAAACCACAAAAAATGACTTAGCACTATAGCTGCTGAAACAGCCTTCCTATGGTTAGTTGAGACTCGACCCTTGAGAAGGTGGAAGTGGTGAAGAAACCACTCTGAATGCTTTCGGAGGCATCTGAGCAGCAGTAGCCATGACACACTGACAGTTTTAACTATGTAACTGAAAAAGGAACACACCAGTGTAATGGGGAATGAGAACAGCATTGAGTCAGACACTTTCTCTGCCACCTTTGGTGACCCATTTTATTTCCTTATCTGTAAATGGGTAGAACGCCTACTTCATAGTGGGGGTTAATGACTTTTATAGATAATGCTGAACATTAAAACATTATATAAGAACTAACCAATTTTCATGATAACATACTAACAGTTCAGGGGAATCCAAGCCTCTGTGCTCTGGATCCCCAGGGCGTTTCAAGTTCCTGGAGCCTGAATGGAGTCCAGCCACTGCCCCAAATCTTTGAGTCCCTTGACCTTCAGGGTGCAGACCTTCTATCTGTCACCTCCTTCTAAGTGTTGGAACCTACTGTCCAGCTGCCTAACCCCTCTGGGTGCAGCACTGACCCTTCAGACCCCCTGATACTTAAACACACCCCTCTCCCAGAACTCGACCCAAAGTGTGAAGCTTCTGATTACATTTGAACTCTTCCAGGGGCAAAATTGTGAATACTTAACACATACTGGTAGACAGGCTTTGCACTGATTTTAGCACCATTGCTCTTTAACAGATAAAGCACAGGAGGCCACAGATCATACAAAACAAACATATGAAATGGCAAGATCCCTCACTTGCTATCTTGCCCTTTCCTTGGGGTACCACCTGGGTCCAGGAAGGCAGGGTGTTACAGAGTGAGTGCTCTCTCCCTCACAGACTACAGTAAATGGTCCCCAACCCCAGCTGAGCAGACCATCCTCTGCCCTTTTCAAAACTTCAGCCTCCCCCGTTAGGTAACACCCTTGCCAGGCAAACCCCTGTAAAGTGACTTTGTTGCTGTGACTTCCTCCGCTAAGCAGCTCTTCTGGGCTAGGACCAGTCTTTTGTCTAGAGTGAATAGTTTTCCTATTATTGGGTAGTCCTAAGTAGTCAACTGCCCTGTACTGTTGTTCTGCTCCCACCTTTGGAATTTTTAACCCAACATGGAAGCAAGTACACCATAGAGAAGTCAAAAGGCTGCATGTTCAAAATGGAGTTTGCAGCCTGACAGACACACAGGGTTTGTAATTTTACACACAATCCATGAATTATACAGATATATTCTCAATTTATCACACCACAGTATCTACAACCCTCAGTGTAGCACTGCGCTAGTGCATGAGACGTGAAACTGACTAGAAACAGGCCAGTCTAGTTTCACTAGCCAGGCTGAATAAAATATAAAAACGAAATATCAATTTTAACAGGTAGTGGCCCTTTAACAGTAACCTCCTAAATTTCCAAAACAGCACACAGGGATTTACCTGCATGGTTCCGATTATCAGTTGGGGGGAGAGGACCACAACTCAAATTCCATACTCACCTCATTGAACATTTGAGTTCACTTAGTTGAAGAGACAATACAAGATGCTTAGAACCGTTTCCTGTATTATCATAATCTGGTGAGAACACATCTCCAGATGATAAAACTTAGTAAGACTCTACCACCTGCAGAATCCCCATATTGCAATAAATATGCTTCCAAATGGAGCATTATTTGACTTCCAGTACTGAAAGTCAATTATGGATGAGTCACCCAACAGGGTTAGTGTGTGTGTTAGGTGGTAATTCAAACAAACGATGTTACTGAGCTACAGGAGCACAAGGAAGCTTCAGAAACTGTAAAACATCGATTCTCTTCCTCCACCCCACCCCCAGCATGTGAGGAAAAAGACACATAAAAGGACAAGACTTGGGCCAAAATTTTAAAACTTGGTGTGTAAAGTAAGTGGCCTGATTTTCAAAAGTCCTGAGTGCCTGCACCTCCTATTAACTTCAATTGATTTTTGGGTACTCAGCACTTCTGAAAATTATCTCTCCAAGTACCTAAATATAGATTTAGGAACTTTAGGCAACCAGGTTTCCAAATCTTAACCATTGTATAAAAAAGTCAGCCCTTACTGAATTACAGCTACATTATGAATTCTAAAATTGAGATTTATAATGAACACTATCACCTTAACTAGAACATGACAAATGGGACAGTGCTAGTGGGAATTAGTATATATGCAGCGGCACAATTATTTCAAATTTGGTGACAATATATACCTCCAGACCAGTGGCACCGCTATGGGCACCCGCATGGCCTCACAATATGCCAATATTTTTATGGCTGACCTGGAACAACACTTCCTCAGCTCTCGTCCACTCACGCCCCTTCTCTACCTACACTACATTGATGACATCTTCATCATCTGGACCCATGGGAAGGAGACTCTGGAAGAATTCCACCATGATTTCAACAGCTTCCACCCCACCATCAACCTCAGCCTGGACCAATCGACCCGGGAGGTCCACTTCCTAGACACCACGGTACAAATAAGTGACGGTCACATTAACACCACTCTATACCAAAAACCCACCAACCGCTATGCCTACCTTCATGCCTCCAGCTTCCATCCCAGACACACCACACAATCCATCGTCTACAGCCAAGCACTGAGGTATAACCGGATTTGCTCCAACCCCTCAGACAGAGACCAACACCTACAAGATCTTCACCAAGCATTCTCAAAACTAGGATACCCACATGAGGAAATAAGGAAACAAATCAACAGAGCCAGACGTGTACCCAGAAGCCTCCTGCTGCAAGACAAGTCCAAGAAAGAAACCAACTGAACTCCACTGGCCATCACCTACAGTCCTCAGCTAAAACCTCTCCAACGCATCATCAGTGATCTACAACCCATCCCTCGCTTTCACAGGCCTTGGGAGGCAGGCCAGTCCTCGCCCACAGACAACCCACCAACCTTAAGCATATTCTCACCAGCAACCACACACCGCACCATAGTAACTCTAACTCAGGAACCAATCCATCCAACAAACCTCGATGCCAACTCTGCCCACATATTTACATCAGCGACACCATCACAGGACCTAACCAGATCAGGCACACCATCACCGGCTCATTCACTTGCACGTCCACCAATGTAATATACGCCATCATATGCCAGCAATGCCCCTCTGCTATGTACATCGGCCAAACTGGACAATCCCTATGTAAAAGGCTAAATAGACACAAGTCAGATATTAGGAATGGCAATATACAAAAACCTGTAGGAGCACACTTCAACCTCCCTGGACACACAATAGCAGATTTAAAGGTAGCCATCCTGCAGCAAAAAAACTTCAGGACCAGACTCCAAAGAGAAACTGCTGAACTTCAGTTCATTTGCAAATTTGACACCATCAGCTCAGGATTAAACAAAGACTGTGAATGGCTAGCCACTACAAAAGCAGTTTCTCCTCCCTTGGTGTTCACACCTCAACTGCTAGAAGAGGGCCTCATCCTTCCTGATTGAACTAATCTCATTATCTCTAGACTGATTCTTGCCTGCATATTTATACCTGCCTCCGGAAATTTCCACCACATGCATCTGACAAAGTGGGTATTCACCCACGAAAGCTTATCTTACATACAAAAGTAGTCCTTTAACATCAAGGGCCTACTTGCATGAGTGAGTCTTTGCAGGACTACACCCTAATAAGCTATCAAAACCTGGGTATTGCAATGTTTGGAATGTTGTTTGCATTAAGTCTGTATGAGTCACCAGTGGATTATGCCTTCAAGAAAAAAAACAGACCCCGGCATCTCTATGCTCAAAGAATAACCTGAGTCATGTTTTACCATTAGAGGATTAGTACATTAGTACATTAGGTACATTGTCAAAGTTAGGGTATTCCCCAAAACTGACTTTCCCCCATCTTTTTGCAAAGTCCGTGTGATTCAGTAACATTTAAATATTTTTCATTAAAAAAAAAAAATCTAGTCCTAAATAGTAAACCTAAAATAAAAGTTGGAATTTGAAGTGAGGTAGAGGAAGGACAAATTAACAGAAGTAATTGATTTCATTTAAGCTTTCAAGAAGTTATTAAAGGAATAACACATGAAATTTTAAACAAACCTTATCATTGTACGTACCAGTCATAAATGTGCTTTTAACTAATCTGTACTAAATGTCAGAACAGTAATATCAAAAGTTAGCACTTTTTGCAAACCACTCACAACGTTCTGTTTGCAATATTTAATTGGTCCCCTGGGAAAAGTCAGAATGCATAAAGAAAAACAATAATAGTTGATGTAGTGCAAGCTTTCTACAGCTACCTTGTCATGATTTATCCCCTTTCTCCACACCAGACAGAATCTCTGAGTCTTGGCTAATTTAGGCTTTGGGTGATTTGACCTGTGGTCTGTTTGCGGACGATAGACTGAAGTTCTCAGCCACAACTATCCAAGGGCTGTCCCTCTCTGTCTTAGGCTAGTTGCTTCTTTTAGCTCTGCTGCCACTTCTCACACCACCCCCTTTGACAGAATACTTTAATTCAGTGACATTCAGACCCCAGTGGTTCAGGAGCCAAATTAGTGATCAGTTATGATTCTTTTGGCTAACGTAGTGTGAATTCATTATTTCAATTACTATAGTACTATATAGTCATATTTAAACAACATGATGGGAAATATTTTGGGTTTTTTATATATATATACAATTATCACAGCAAAATGAGTAGACCAAGTATTATTTTATCAACTAAAATTGGTTAATAACATAGTAAAAGCACATCCTGATTGGTTAATAATGAAATCATAGTATTTTAATATGTGCTGAAAAAAGCCGCAGGGGCCGCATTAAAGAGCCACTTGCTGCTCGCGAGCCTCAGTCTGAGTATCACTGCTCTAATTCCTGCTTTCCCAACTCTTTTATAATAAAGGAAGGCAATAACAGAAACAATGTAACTGCTGTGCAGAAAACAGCATTATCGTCCTTAGGACACTGCTGGCTATTATGCTGGGGCCATATTAGGAGTGTTGGAGAGCCACATTAACTATCCTAGAATGGAAGAGAAGTATAGCAAATATCTAATTACTCATATCTGGTTGATATTTAAGTTCTCTAGCCATCATCCACCATCTACTATAAAAATCACCTTCATGTCCAGTCCACAAGACACAAGGCTTTGAGGGCGCTGAGGTCGAAAGGCTACAGAGGAGCAGATGTTTGAATGCCTCCTCAAGGACCGGCTGACTTTCTTGTTTTCCAAGTTCATAATTTTTATTGCCCCAGAGTCATCTGCAGCAGCCAGGACACTATCTGTCTCATTCACTGACAGGCAATTGATCTCTTCCTCATTCAGATGAAAGCATTCAACTGGCCCCTTAAGGGATCTGACATCCAATATGCTAATGGTTTCACCATGGGAGATGTATAGCCTGCTGGGGTAGGTGGGAGAGAACACAACACAGGTGACATCATCTGCCCTTGGAAGCTGTATCTGTCCTAAATGAATCCCTTCTTCATTCCAGATTGTGAGTTCTCCTCTCTCTGCTCCGGAAGCTACCAGCCCTTCTTTGTTTACATTCAAGCACAGTATAGAAGAGGAATGTCCACTAGTCCACTTGACTGCCATGATACTTCAAGGGAGTCTGTGAAGGAAAACAAATTGATGTTAGGGAAGGGTTTTTCCTACTACAGTAAAAAATTAAAAATGCAAGCACGCTTGGCTGACACAGTAACATGCAGTGGATGAGATGCTAGTGTCCCTAAGGTAAGACAGACACCTGTATAGGTAAGCACATTAACTGGGACTTGGGCTCAAACAGTATTGACATTTTGCATCATCCCCTTGCTGCTCTATTGTGAGAAGTGCTATGTCCGGTACATGAACTAAACTAAATCACCTTCTGCTAATCTTGAGTAGTTGTCTAGGTGGAAGTTACTTCAGCTGCAACCACTGCAGCAGGGACTGTCTTTTCAATATGTGCATACAGTGCTCATCACAATGAGGTCCCAGTCTCTGACAGGGGTATTTAGGTGCTCATCACAATGGGGTCCCAGTCTCTGACTGGGATATCTAGGTGCTATCACAACACATAAGTTAAACTTTCCATTGCACTTACTGAAAAGAGTAGGGGGGAAATTTCAGGGCTTGTCTATACTTTCAGAGCTGAAGCAGTGCAGCTGAACCACTGTAGCACTTAGTGAAGATGCTACCTACGCTGACAGGAAAGTTTCTCCCATCTGTGTAAGTACTCCACCTCCCTGAGAGGCAGTGGCTATGTTGATGGGAGAAGCCCCCCCGTCAACATAGCGCAGTCTACACTGGGGGTTAGGTCTGTTAACTGTCATTCAGGAGTGTGGTGTTATATTGACATAAGTTCCTAGTGTGACCAAGTCTTAATATCCTAGACAACAGTCCCTCTTCATAAAACAAATTCTTATGTTCCAAGCTGTGTGAAAAGCTACAATTTAGAGCATGACTACTTCCTCTGACTACACAGTCACTGAACTGCTTTGTAAATCACACCAATACCTAGAGTAAGAAAACTGCTCTGTAAGATAAAGTTCTTTTCTTCCTAAATAATAAGCTTATTTTGATAATGGTGGGGTTTGCATGAAGTAACATCATCACTGTAAGTAGAACAATGAAAATAGTTTAACTATATACAGCACTACCCACTTAAGCAGAAAGGAAACATACAAAGATGAGATATGGAAAAACTGAAATGAAAAGTAAAAAAGGACTCCACCAGGGGTGAAGGCAGAATGACGTAAATTGGTGGAGTTGGGAGGAACTGAGTTAATTGAGGGATGAAGTGAACAAGGTTTAAATATGAGATCAGAAGGGAGGAGGTAACCTGTGGTTCAGAGCATTTGAGAGAGAAAAGGTTGAGGAACTTTCTTTGGTGCTTTGACTCTTGCTATTGAATTTTCAGGTAAAAGAGACCAGCATCTAAAACTATAAAAATGTGATGTGCAAAAAACTGTGTTCAGCATTTTTCTAAAGTTGCTGGAAGCCCCAACAGAGGAGGAATTCAGCACTTGTGTAAGCTAAAACTTTTTGCTTGTTTGACCCTACTGATGAGAATTAGGTCCTAAAGTATGGATCCCACCAGTCCCCAGCTTCTTATGTGTGACACCACTGCCTGCAGTCTGCTGGTACACCTGTCCTGGAACCTCACTGCCAAATAATCCTCTCTATAGGGGCAAAGGAAGCCACTTTGAAAAAGTGTATAGTTTCTTTAAAAAAAAAAACTTGCTAGTATGGATAAACCCACACATTTTAAAAAAATGTAGGTCTGTAAAATATTTTACATTTTAGTATAATAGGATATAAAGAGAACTATAAAACCATGCTGAATTCCTTATACGTGGCATTTACTTTACTATGGGGTTGCAAGGAGGCACACACGTGCATGTGACGCTGCTAGCAGAATGCTTTTATGGACAATTCACATACCAGGAGTTGGAGATCTGTGGCTGGTCCAGACTTCTCAGGGCCTGAACTTTAATAAATTTCAAGTTAGCTAATGTGCTTGATGACCATGTTTCCCCTTATTAGTTGGAGTCATCAGCAAGTATGTCTAAGGCTCTGCTCCAACAATTGGATCCACCTAGAAGGACTCTGGCACCTATGAGAATCATATTGTAGGCTGGGGCCTAAAATTGTTGAGGCTTTTTAAACAGCTTTACATGTTATGGTTGAAACAACACAAATATATTAAATATTTCAGCAATTTGGCATTCCAATCCAAAGTGTGGTAAGAAGCATTGCCTCTATTTTAAACTAAACATGATTTGTTCAGATTTTGTGGTGGAGGCAAGGATCAATGCTGTTAAATATATTAATGGTTTTAAATTGTAAACTCTTGGCAGGAGGGATTTTTTAAAAACTGTACAGCACACAGCACATCTAACAAAGCTCCTTATGTGCATGCAGAGGTAGGAAATGGCTGTAGTGCAGGTTTACAGTTGAGGGTGGCAGCCATAGGTAAAGCCCCCTGGTGATGGGGGGTGGGGGGAAGGAATGAGCAAGAGGAAGGATGGGCAGCTGTAGGCAAAGCTCTCCCCCACCTCCCCACCATGGGATGGGTGAGAGTGTCTTTGTGTGGAAGTGGCTGTAGACAAAAGCCTGTGGTGGTGACTTGGGGGGGGGGATGTCGGAAAGGCCCAGGGGATAAGCAGGAAGAGGGGTGGCTGTATGAAAGGACCAGGCAGGTATGGCTGGACAGAAGATCAGGAAGGGGGGGTGTTTGGGGGTGGCTGTAGGGATGGCCCGGGGTGAGAGAGAGGAGGACAGCATGGGGGAGGTTAGCAGGGGGATGGTAGGAAAGACACAGGTGAAGGATTAGCAGGGGAGGGGGACAGGGTGGCTGGAGAGAAGGCCTGGGCAGGGTAGCTGGAGGGAAGGCCCTGAGGGGAGCAGGGGGAAGATGGCTCGGGGGAAGGCCCAAGCAGGGGTGGGATGAGTGGGGTGGCTGAAGGGAAGGCTCAGGTGAGGGGGAGAGGGCTAGAGATAAGGCCTGTGGGGCGGATGGGGAGGGATCGGGGTGGCTGGAGGGGACAGCTAACAGGGAAGACCCATGTAGGGGAAGGGAAATAGCTATAGGGAAGGAGCGGATTAGGTGCTCATAGGGAAGGTCCGGGCAGGGGGCCTGAAGGGAAGGCCTGGGAAGGAGTGGGCGGCGCGCTGGAGGGAAGGCCGGGGAGGGAAAAGCAGGGGGTCGGGGGTGGCTGGAGGGAGCATGTGGGGCGGGGGTCTCGAGGGACTGAGCGCAGGAGGGTGTCTGGAGGGAAGGCCCGGAGGGGAATGAGCGAGGGGCGGGGTGTGTGCGGAGGGAAGGCCCGGGGGGGGGACTGGAGGGAAGGCCCCGGTGATAGGTAGATCCCACCGCGCCGCTCGCTCTCGTCCGTGCTGCGGGGTGAGGGGAGGGCGCGTTACCTCTGACCACACCAAGCACCCAGCTTCCCCGCGCGACCCGCCTGTTCCGGCGCAGCATAATGACATCATCTCAAAGTACTTCCGTGCGTCCTCTGAGGCCAAGCTAGCGTACGCTGGGGCGCATGCGCTCCCGAGATCCTATGCCAGCTCTACCCGTAACCAACATGGCGCTCCTGCTGTCAATCTCTCCTCGTACAAAGTAGTAGTGACAGCTACTGTGGAGAATGCGGGGTGGATGGTCTGGGCGTCGCTCGCGGCTATGTTCCCGGGGTAAACTGCGGCACTCTGGACTCTCAGCTGTGCCCCTCCCGCCCAACCGCAGAGCTCACTTCCGCCCGCACTTCTCCCCAGTCGGGGGAGGGCAAACAGCTCGCACCGCCCCCCGCTATACTGCCGGTTCCCGCGAGGCTGGGTAGTGTGGCTGGCGCCGCCTCAGGGGCTGGTACAGCGCCTCGCGCCGCCGCGGGGTCTCGCGGAGGGGGTGGTTGTTGCCGGCCGGCAGGAGGGGCGAGCGGCCGGTGCGCGCCGCCCTAGGCGATGGCGGCGGGCGGCGGCGGGGGTGCGGTGGGGGGTGCGGGCTGGCGGCTGCCCGGGCGGGTGCTGGAGCTGGTGTTCTCCTACCTGGAGCTGCGGGAGCTGCGCAGCTGCGCGCTGGTCTGCCGGCTGTGGCACCACGTCCTGCACGGCGATGAGAACAGCGAGGTGTGGCGCAGCCTGGCCGCCCGCAGCCTGGCCGAGGAGGCGCTGCGCACTGACATCCTCTGCAACGTGCCCACCTACAAGGGCAAGGTGAGCAGGGCCTCGCCACAGCTCCGGGCTGCTGAACCGGCGCCGCGGGGGGCAGGGCTGGCGGTCCCTGCTGCGCCGCCGGGATCACGGCAGGGCCAGGGCACCCCGCGCGGCGATAGCGACTGTGCAGGGCCGAGCGGCACCGGCCGGCGCTGTCCGCGCACCCGGGCATTGCGGGGAGGGACCCTCCTGCCGCAGCTGCCCTCCGCGCCCCAGCGCTGCCAGAGCCGTTATCTACTCCCTGAAATGACCCTTCTCCACCTTCGCCTTGACAATGGGACTGGCCTATGGAGAGCAGGTTTTCCCTGGCTGCGCCTCCCCACACCCACTGCCATGTTTTCCATCCCCCTGTTGGAGAATGGCAAGTAGATCTGGTGTTGCTGAACTGTCATCTTCTTGCAAGGAAGGCTTGTCTTAAGCTGCCGCCATCGGTCCTGCCAGCTGTTCAAAGCAAGTCTGGTCAACTGAACTTAAAATACTCTGCACAGCCAGCAGGCTGCCTTCATTGCTGTGGCCTGGGAAGCTGAAATCGGGTTGGCTATTTGAAAAATTTCCCTAATCTAGACTAGGCTTTTAATTGCTTGTTTTACAGGTGCCCTCCACTTCCTACCATTCCTCTCAGTCCTCTCTATTGCTGTCTGTCAGGGGCTCAGGTATTCTGGTTCGCTACTCTCTGGAGTCTTCAACCAGTAAACCCACTATCCTGCGCATAGGTGCTGACTCTGTGGGTGCTCTGGGACTGGAGCACCGACGAGAAAAAAATAGTGGGTGCTCAGCACTCACTGGCAGCCCCATGGATTAGCTCCCTCCCCTCCCCCACAGCCCTCCTGCCTGCCACAATCAGTTGTTCAGTGGTATGCAGGAGGCACTGGGGGGAGGGAGAGGAGCAGGGGCAGGAAGAAGTGGGGGGAGGGCAGGAAGTGTTGGAGGTGGGAGCTTGGGGGAGGGGGTGAAGTGGAGGTGGGGCCTAGGGGGGGGGAACAGGCAGGGGGAGGTCAAGCACCCCTCGGGAACTCAGGAACTTGGCACCTGATCCTGCGTGCTTTTGTGTCTCTTCTACATTGTGTTTTTTTTTTTAAAGTTCAAAATTTGTTGGGAATGAGGTGTAAGATGTTAATGAATTAATTCATTTTATTATTATTTCCTCCATTCAAAAATTCCATCTCTCTTTCTGTGGTTTTAGGTACGGGCCTTTCAACATGCTTTCAGTACCAATGACTGCTCCAGGAATGTGTACATCAAGAAAAATGGATTTACATTGCACCGGAACCCCATTGCTCAGAGCACAGATGGGGCAAGGACCAAGATTGGTTTCAGCGAGGGTCGTCATGCTTGGGAAGTTTGGTGGGAGGGGCCTCTTGGCACAGTGGCAGTAATTGGAATTGCCACAAAACGGGCTCCCATGCAGTGTCAGGGCTATGTAGCACTGCTGGGCAGTGATGACCAGAGTTGGGGATGGAATCTGGTGGACAATAATTTGCTACATAATGGAGAAGTAAATGGCAGTTTCCCACAGTGCAATAATGCACCAAAATACCAGGTGAGTGAGACTAAGCACCAGCTAGAGAGGCTCTACACATCTGTGAACAGCTGTCCTTCAAGAATTGTCAGGCAAGAAAAAGACTTAATTGCCTAATAAGCCTTAACACTGTTCTTTAATATGTCCCTTTTCTATTATAAAAATGTTTGTCTCCTAAACTGGTCTGACATGGCAATATATACAATATGTTTACCTTTTGAGGGGAAAAATTTACCTTATTATCTTTTTTCTAATTTACTGGTTTATTTTAGATTACATCCCTGTATGGTGTACAGATTCTGGATCCTACGTTGTCTCCTCCAGTTAGAATGAAATTAATCTTGTACCTTTCTTTTTTCTCAAATCTTATCTGATATTATCCTGCATTCATACAGTTCATTGAAAGGCAGCAACCTCTTTTGTTTAAAAAAAAAAAGGGGGGGGGGGCGGGGTACTAGAGCATCCTAAATGTTTTAACCAGGGATTTGTCAACCAATAACAGAGCTGTGTTTGATAAGCATTGTCTTTTTGGCGCATCCCAACGTTAAGTGTGCTGACTCTAGTCGGTAATTGGATAGGAATTCTCCAAGGAAGTCCTGGGTGATGCAAAAGTGATGTTTATTCAATAATTGATATTCTTCGAGGTGACATCTTTTGGATAAGACATAACATTGATGTTCAGATAACTTGCCATAATTAAAGAATGTGTGGCACTTTTTTCCCCCCCAAAATAGTGGTATTTAGCTGTGGCCAAATTCCACTTTTGGATAACTACATTCTGTTTACTAGATTTTCTGACAGTACAGCTTCAAGTAAATACACAATACTTCCTGACTTACACTGTTATGTAGTGTTGTTGTGTGATGTGATCCACTTCAGATGTGGCTGCATTTTAGTGGGTGAACATTGTTTAATGTATATTTATATATAATATTCCTAAGTCCCCACTCTAAATAAAGTTAGCTGTCTGAGTGGTATAGCAAACATGATCTGTGTAATGGCACTTACATTTAAAAAATTGCACTTTTCTCTGAAACATGTATCTATGATTTTTTATGAGTAAAACATATTACTGTAATTTAAAGATCAGAAAGACGATTTTTTCTGTAGTTAATTTTGTGCCTTTGATAGCACTATGTATAGTCACTCTGCCTATTTACTTTGTGTGCTCAGTTTCCTTTGTTTGGGTCTTTCACACCCTAACAGGAAAGGAGGGTGGGGAAGAACTTAAAACTATATGGAGACTCAAGGATATGGTGTAGACAAAATTGCTTTGATCTTAGTTTTTAAATTGACTTGATTTCAAGTTGATGTCTCTTTAAAGTATGCTTGAATTAAGTAAAGCATGTGAGATGATCTTTCTTTTCATAAAATAAAGACTAAAAAGTATACATTCTTAAGTGCCCTCTTATAAGTTAGAGGTTAAAAGAGACTACATTTGAGGGTGGCTTGACTCTTCCACAACACAGAAGCTTGTGTAATATCATGTTACTGCTTGCTGTTGGGAGCTGTGTACTTATTTAAATTTCAAATCATGCTCTAGGTAAATGAACTGACACGCAATTTCATGTTTATATGCTGATCTGTGATTCTCCTGGTGCATTCAATGTTTATTATTCTCATATATCTTTTTTTTTCTTTTGGCAAAAACAAATGGGAAAAATCTACACATAGTTTTGAAATGTCCTGCTCTATTGGTAAATAAGAGTGTAATGCTAATGTTCAGAGTGCATGCTTGGCCAAAGAAGTGTTTTATTTCACCTGGCATACAGCACCTACTTTCTTAAAACCAGTTCTGTGGCTTTAAAACCTCTCTGCAAAGGCTTTACCTATTTAGCATAATAAAAGCTATATTCAGAGTCATGGGAAATTCAGGGTGAAGGCCATTACAAAATAGCCACATACTGCAGAACACTGAAGTAGATGTAATGCAGTGTATTAATTCTTATTGCCAGATCAGTCACATGTGAAGGGTCACATTTGGGGTATTTAGCATTGTGATTGTTAACTTGAAATTTTCTGTACAGCTATACAGAATCTTGTGAGCATCAGTGAAACTGACCCTCCTACAGAAAAATTAATTCATTTTTATTGAGAAACAGAAAAATGCCCTTCTCTTAAGGTCTCCTGTTCTACTGTCTAGGTGCTATATTTGTTTTATTTCCCTTTTAATTGGTCTCCCTTTGAATATTGCCTGACTCTTCTTCCTATCTCCATTTGCAGATAGGTGAGAGGATTCGAGTCATCTTGGACATGGAAGACAAGACATTAGCCTTTGAGCGGGGCTATGAGTTCTTGGGCGTTGCATTCAGAGGATTGCCAAAGGCCTGCCTATATCCAGCAGTGTCTGCTGTGTATGGGAACACAGAGGTGACTTTGGTCTACCTGGGAAAACCTCTAGATGGATAACATTGATTGTTTCATTGGGACATCAAGATGTGGAAGATCTGGAGAAGAAATCTGCACGTTGGTTAGAGGGAAAGATGAACTTGAAATAAAGTGTGGGTGCGTGTGCAAGAAACATCCAGGAAAACAAAGAATTGTGATCTGGAGAACCAGCCATACTGCAGGAATTGTTACATTTCCTTTTTCTATCAAACCAGAAAAATCCTCAGGGTTGGAGTTGGTTGAATGGGCAGTTCACACATGCATGTTGCAACA